CAAACACATGAATTGAAATGTGCCTCATGTTCTCAAGGGAAATTGATAATGAGACCATCACATACTAAAGTCGGACATGAATCACCATTATTTTTGGAAAGGATTCATGGTGATATATGTGGACCTATTCATCCACCTTGTGGTCCATTCAGATATTTTATGGTGTTAATTGATGCCTCTAGTAAATGGTCTCACGTGAGTTTGTTATCCACTAGAAATGTGGCATTTGCTAAATTTCTTGCCCAACTTATTAAATTAAGGGCTCAATTCCCATATTATATTATCAAAAGAGTCAGACTTGACAATGCTGGAGAGTTTACATCTCAAGCATTTAATGATTATTGTATGGCAGTGGGAATTGATGTTGAACATCCTGTGGCACATGTTCACACTCAAAATGGTCTTGCAGAATCATTGATTAAACGACTGCAGCTTATAGCTAGGCCATTGATAACGAGGACAAAACTCCCACTTCAGTATGGGGACATGCTATTCTGCATGCAGATGATCTAATTCGAATAAGACCAAGTGCACACCATACATACTCTCCATTACAGTTGGCATATGGTCGAGAACCAAATATTACACATCTAAGAGTTTTTGGTTGTGCAGTGTATGTACCAATTGCTCCGCCCCAACGTACAAAAATGGGGCCTCAAAGAAGATTGGGAATATATATTGGATATGATTCTCCATCAATAATCAAATATCTTGAGCAAAAAACGGGTGATGTTTTTACAGCTCGGTTTGATGATTGTCATTTTAATGAAGAATTGTTCCCCCCTTTAGGTGGGAATGAAAAATTAATTGAGAGAAATATTGAATGGCAAACATCATCGCTATCATATCTTGATCCTCCCACCAAACAAAGAGAGCAAGAAGTTCAAAAGATCATACATCTGCAGAATATTGCAAATCAATTACCAGATGCATTTACGGATTTAAAAAGGGTAACCAAATCACATGTGGCAGCCGTAAATGCCCCTGCTCGAATTGAGATTCCAAAAGAAATGACAAATGACGATATGCCAAATGAGTTAAAAACACGCTTAAAACGAGGAAGACCAGTTGGGTCTAAAGATAAGAATCCTCGAAAGAAAAGAGAAATTCATGACTCGAATTCGAAAAAGAATCAAGATGATGGAAAAATTTCGGGACGAAATAAAAATATTGAAATCTCCATCAATTACGTGAACAATGGGAATCTTTGGAAGCGTGATGAGGTCATTGATGATACATTCGCATATATGGTATCACAAGAAATTGACAAAGAGGTTGAGGATCCTGAACCAAAATCTATGATTGAATGCCAGAAAAGACATGATTGGGACAAGTGGAAAGGTGCTATTCAAGCCGAGTTAGATTCACTTAATAAACGGAAGGTTTTTGGACCTATTACCATTATACCAAAAGACATAAAACCTATTGGATACAGATGGGTTTTCGTCAGAAAAAGAAACGAGAAAAATGAGATCACAAGATATAAAGCTCGCCTTGTAGCACAGGGATTCTCCCAGAGGCCTGGGATCGATTATGATGAAACATATTCCCCTGTTATGGATGCAATTACCTTCAGATACTTGATTAGTTTAGCCATCCATGAAAATCTTGAGATGCGTCTCATGGATGTTGTGACTGCTTACTTATATGGATCGCTAGACGCTGACATTTATATGAAAATCCCAAAAGGGATTAGAGTACCCGAAGCACTAAAGTCCAAACCTCAAGATTTATGTGCGATAAAACTGCAAAGATCATTGTATGGATTGAAACAATCCGGGCGTATGTGGTATAATTGTTTGAGTGAACAATTACTAAAACGGGGATACATAATAATCAAATATGCCCGTGTGTCTTTATCAAAAGATCGCAAGATGGGGTTGTGATAATTGCTGTCTATGTCGATGATCTTAATATTATTGGGACTACAAATGAAATCCAAGAAGCAGTTAATTTACTGAAAGGCGAATTTGAAATGAAAGATCTCGGACAAACCATATATTGTCTCGGCTTGCAAATAGAACGAGTCCAAAATGGAATATTTGTCCATCAATCTAATTACACTAAAAGAATATTGAAACGATTCAATATGGACAAGGCTAATCCCCTTTGTACTCCAATGGTCAATCGAACATTAGATGTTGAAAAGGATCCATTTCGACCTTGTGAAAAAGGTGAAGAAATACTTGGTCCTGAAATACCATATATGAGTGCAATCGGAGCTCTTATGTATCTTGCAAATTGCACCAGACCAGATATATCTTTTGCCACCAACTTGTTAGCAAGATATAACTCGTCACCTACGAGGAGACACTGGAATGGAATCAAGCACATATTCCGTTATCTCCAAGGGACAATCGATTTGGGATTGTTTTACTCCAATGATAAAAAACATGAACTGATCGGTTTTGCAGATGCAGGATATCTATCAGACCCCCATAAAGCGAGATCTCAAACTGGCTACGTTTTCACGATTGGTGGAACTGCATTTTCTTGGCGTTCCCAGAAACAAACATTAGTCGCGACATCTTCAAACCATGCTGAGATCATTGCACTTCATGAAGCAACTAGGGAAAGCATTTGGCTCAGAAACATGACTCAACATATTCAACAAGCCAGTGGACTATCGAATAATACTGACCCGACGGTGATATTCGATGACAATGCAGCATGTGTCGCTCAAACCAAAGAAGGATACATTAAGAGTGACAGAACTAAACATATCCCGCCAAAGTTCTTCTCATATGCTCAGGAGCTTGAAAGAAACAAACAAATCAAAGTTCAATACATTCGATCAAGCGATAATGCAGCAGATTTATTTACGAAAGCACTTCCGACTACAATGTTTCGAAAGCATGTGCACAATATTGGAATGAGACATCTTCGGGATTTGCATAGATAATAACTCGAGTGGGAGCATGTGCGGCTGTACTTTTTTCTCCTTATCTCGGTTTTTTCCCACAGGATTTTTTCAGATAAGGTTTTTAACGAGGCAGCATAAACGCACAGTTAATAGTAGATACTCCATTAAAATAGTCATTCAAGGGGGAGTGTTGTAAAGGTGCGCATGCACACCGCGTGCAAATATTTTAATGTATGTGAATGACTATTTTGTCTCTGATGTAATTGTATTATTACGATTGTGCCATCAGAAGTTTTCCTATAAATAGGGACTTCAATTATAATGAAAAATACACCGAAAAGAATACAATTTCTCTATTCTCTATAATCTCAATTCTCTCTAGTTTTATAACAAAAAATAATTTATTATTTATATTATCAAAATATATTTTATATTTAATATTGTATTTATTTTTTTATATTATTTTTTATTTAAATACATAAATTATATATGTATAAAAAATATATACAACATAATATGTTTTTATACATTTTCTGTAAATTACAAATTGGACTTATGGGCAAATTAGTAATATAGTTAAACATTTTCAAAATTACAGATTGACCCCAGAGGCTAATCTGTAATTATCTAAAAAACTACAAATTGCAAATCAGTCCTTAGGGTTTATCAAATTTCCCAAATGATGTCCCCATCTACAACGTCGGCTTCTTCCTCAATCGATTGGTCCAAATCCATCCCATCGTCGTCGCCTTCCAAATCCCGCCGCCACCATCGTCTTATCGCTCAGTCGCCCCGTCCAAATCCCGTCATCGCCGGCGCCTCCGTCCAGATCCGCCGCCGGATGGATCTGTTGCCGTCCACGTGCTGTTGCCGGAGACCGATTATTGCTGTCTTCGATCGACGGCGAGTGGCGGACGGAGTCGAAAATCGCAGGTACGGGCGGACGACTGAGTGTGTGATGTGCTGTGCGAGGGAGGAAACGACGGGAATTTGCAGAGGTTCGACGGCGGTTGTGGCTCGGCGGCGACGGAGGCGTGACAGAGGCAGCGTAACGACGACGGCGGCGGCAGGGTGACGAAGGTGACGACGACTATGGATGGCTGAAGGTCCGCCGGCGAGTGTGTGTTTTCCGCCGTCCCGTGTGTCTGTGTGTCGCGTGTATATGTATTTGTGTGTGTAATGTATGTGTGCGTGTGAGAGAGAGAGAGAAGATGAGGTGTAAATGGTAGTTGGCAGGTTTAAAAAACCTCCACAATGCTTTGGGTCTCTTTTTGTATATGTGGCATATAATTGGACTTGAATTTTAAATGATATGGACAAATCCAAGTAAAAAAACTCAAAAACTTTGCAACCCAAAAATAAAAAGACTAGGTCTAGCATACATGCCAACCAATAGAAATGCTTTAATATATTTTATTAATACCCATTAATGTGTATTAATGTGTAGTGGGTCCCACTTCTTTGAATGTGATGTGGAAAAATACCACAATGTCCTTAATGAAGGGTTAATTTTGGCTTTTTTTCAAGCTATTGGATCATTCAATCCTATGGTTGAGATTTATTCTTATTTCTTTCACTGAGAACCATTCTCACCGGAGCGTGACCCTATATATATATATATACACCCAACTAATGCATATCATAAAATTTTTCCGCTCATTTTTTTCAACTAATGTGGAATAAACCGTTACATTTTATATTGATATTTTAAAATTATTTTATTATATAATAATTACTACTAATTCTAGCTAATTATAAATTACATTAAACTGTTTGTCAAAGTTACAGACTTATAAAAAAATTTCATTGATTTCTTTTAAGATATTTATTTTACAATAAATAATTTTTGTATCTTATTAAGAGAATTTATTATAATATTAGTTAATTGGTTTTAGTGGCATAATAATCAAACCCATTGAAAAAATCACATATATAATTGCTTTAACAAATGCAAACATTACATTATCTATTACATTTTATGTCACTAATAAAATAATTTATTCATAAGTTAAATAATTTATATTTACATTATTTACTAATAATAGAAAATATAAAACATGACACCCCATTATCTAATTTAAAATTTTTAAAATTATATACATACATATAATAAATATTTTTTGCACAAGGTTCACTACTAGTTTGTAATTCATCTTACCAAATTCAAATCACACCGAACAGCAGAGTCTGCTGCTGATGGTTAGTTCTTCCGCTCGTCCTCCGCCCTACTGTTCAAATCTCGAGCAGGTATGTTTTAACGCCTAGTTACACTCATGTTTTTGGATTTAGGACTCCGCTTTTCCAATTACCTGTTCATAAGCTTGAAAATTTTTATTTGATCGGAATGAAATGGAAAAAAAAAGGGTTTCGGCTTCTGCATGACTAATCCACCCATGGAGGAGAACTGAGGCTCTATTTGTTTTGTTGTTTCTTCTGTTATTTGCCACTCATCAGGGCTTATCGGTGACCAGTAATTAGGTCATAACGGGGATGGATAAGCTCTCGAATTCATTTTCAGTACTCGAGTTAGACTCTGAAGATTCTAAGGTGGAAAGTTCAGTTGGTAATAAAGGAATGATGGGTAAAGGTTCAAAAAATGAGGCCTTGCTTGAAAATGGTAATGGGGATCAACAAACCGGTGAAACGGCCTCGGGAGAATTTAAGATGCCACTTGTCTGGATTGACCTGGAAATGACCGGTGAGATTAACTTATGATTGGGTTTTCTGTATATGCCATGTGGATCACCTTCATGAACTCTAAATTGGTTCTTCATACATTCTGTTGAAATATAATGCTAAAACGATGCAATTTTTGGTGGCTGAAGTGGTTTGTTTTGCATTTTATATCTTGGCTTCAAAGATTTAAAGCGACTTTTAGGTCATGGTCATATTAGCTGATTTAGCAGCCTTTTTTTTTTGCCTCCCTTTTGACTATTATAGTATTACTATATTGCTGTCAACATCTCTCTTAGAAGAAAAGACTTAGATTTCCTCTTTGGCCTAGGTGTCAGAGAAGCTGCTTGAGTCCATTCTTGATAGGCAAAAATTGTCGTCTGACTTCAATTAGATGTTCATCGTCCTTTCCATGTTCCAGGTTTGTTTTTCTGTAACCTGTCTCCTCCACCTCTAGATTTCATGCCCATGCACCGTGCTCTTTTTCTCCCATGGTAGGTGCTCATAATGCATCTCTGGTTATGCACATAGATTCTCCCTTAGTATGAGCAAGTAATATCTAAACCAATGTACAGGAGAGAGGGAACATAAGCAACCACTTTTGTTATAATACTATCACGAGNTTTTTTTTTTTTTTCCATACATCACGTTCTTCTCCACCCCTCGTCTTATGTTTTGTTGACCTATCCTGCACAATTGCAGATTCAGTGCCGAGGTCAGATAACATCCAAATATATCTTTACGTCGTTATGAGTTGGTTGTTTTTAAGTATGTATTTCTTTCCATAGATTAAGCACCGCCATGTTTTACATCTTAGTTGGAACGGATAACAAAATTGTTCCTAAAAATTATGTTTTAATTGGGAGCTGGTTGCTTTATTGGTGCTGGTGGTGATAATGATCATAATCAGTGAAATAGTGTTTTGATCCTGTATTATACATGTGCGTAAAGAGTTTCTTGATTTAGTATTTTATTTTGTCAACTGGCAATTTCAAGACATGACCTGTAAAGAGAGATACGGTTCATATAACTGTCTATGACCCTTTCCTTTCTTTCTGTATTTAGGTTTGAATGTTGAAGTTGATAGAATTCTGGAGATTGCTTGTGTGATCACAGATGGGAATTTAACCAAGTCAATTGAGGTCAGAGCTAAGTTACATAGTTAGACACATGCACACATGTTATCATGTTATCCCGTTTGCTTTGGATTCTGAGCTTCTTTCCTGTCTGATGCTCTGATAATCATGTTGATACAATCGATGATGTATCTCGTCTTTCCAGTTGTTCTCCTAACTTACTAAAATATAGTCTTTCAACAGGGACCCGTTTTGGTTATTCATCAAACAAAAGAGTGTCTTGATGAGATGGGAGAATGGTGTCAAGAACATCATGCAGAAAGTGGTATGCCATGTTGCAGCTTTTGTTACCTTTCGAGAAATTGAAATGTATATGTTAACTAACTTTTGGATTTAGAATATAATACCCTTTCCACTTACTTTGTAATGGGAACACCTCCAATCACTTGTCCCTTTGTGATGGTTTAAAGTAACTAGCACAAACAAATTAATATGTTTGTATTTGACAAAATGTACAATTTTTAGTATCTTGTCGTTAAATGAAGTAAACAGTAATAATTAATTCGTATTACTCTGAATAGAGTGCTGATCGGTAAAGTTAAACACTTTCATATTTCAATTTCTGGAAGATAGTTTCATTGATTTTATGGCTCGGTCAATAATAACTCAAGTTTTACTGGTTCTCAGGTTTGACGAAGAGGGTTCTTGAAAGCGCAATAAGTGAACAAGAAGCTGAAAAGCAGGTAGTTGCAACTTGTTACTCCTATAACAGGTTGTTATATTCATGCCATGCTTAAAATAAATAGATCCATGCAGTGTTATCAAATGGCGGATTTCTACCAAACCGCCATCCTAAATTTGTGAAGATTGGCGGATATGGATGCGCCATCATGGCGGGCTCTATGGTGGGATTTTGGCCTTCTGCCATCTACCGCCATCCGCCCTTGATAACATTGTATCCATGTCATATGTATATATAAATCTGTTTGACCTTTCATAGCCAGATTTATTCTAACAAATACTTCTGCAGTTTAGCCGGATATTTTGGAAAGCTAGTTCCTTTTACTTTTAGTCATGGAACAAAATTTAACAGAGATGTTGTTAGGCTACCTAACCATTAGTCAATTATACTTTTTCATAAAAAATGTATACTTGTACTTAATGTCATACTTTTGTCTGTGGTAATATAAAGTATGACATTTGAGTTTGAAAGTACGTAAATTTATTGTAAAAGTATTGTTGCCTAACCATTTGGCCATCTAACAAAAGACTTACCGAAAATTTAATTGTATGAAAAATGTAATTTCAGTAAATGGCCAGTTGATTGGAATTTTGAGGCCATTTATTTAGATTGAAGCATTCATAGGATTAATTAGTTACTATCAGTGTTATCAATGGTGGATGGTGAAAAATGGGGGTAGGTTGAAACCCTTTCACTAATATCTAATACAACATTTCCACGGGGACCAGCTGGCGTATTACCCATTTGAAAAGCATACCTCCATTGAGAGTATTACACATCCATGACACGACATGTTTTTAACACAACTACGGGTTTCCACTATACATTCACACATTATGTTGGATATTTTCTATTGAGAAATGCTATAGGTACATAACATTGTACATAGGGGTGTACATAACACTCACATCGAGTGGGACCCACAAAAATAAAAAAATCAAGTGGACCCCACTCCATGTGAGTGTTATGTACACCCCTATGTATATTTATTATGTACTTGTAGCATTTTTCTTTTCTATTTACACATTTTAAAAGTAAATATAAGATTGGAAGAAACAAAAACTGGGGAGCGCCCAAAGAAAGTTGGATGTTTAATGGATTTCATACTGATGAGTGATGAACCTCTTCCTTTAAAGGTACATAAAGGAGTGATTTATCAAGGAGTGATTTAGGAATCCAGTTCCATATTTTCCTCCCACTAGGAAATTTAGAGAAAATCACCAAATGGTCAATTGAGTTGCTTGCTTGCGAATTGCCAGAACTAGAAAGAGCATGTAATATTTATAACTAGATGTGAGTGTGACCAGACCCATGTGTCCATTCACTATTTTACGTTTCTGTTTATGCGCTGTTTTTTATCTGATAAATACTTTGTTACATATATATGTGCTAGACAAGTTAGTTGTGCTTCTCAAACATATCTTTATTTTCCTGCTTTTTGAGCTGTATAGGTCATCGAATTTGTGAAGAGACATGTGGGCTCATATAAACCTCACATAGCGGGAAATTCTATTTACATGGATCTTCTATTTTTAAAGGTACAGAAACTTCTTGCTTTTTGTTATATCAATTTGATAAATTTAAGTTTTTCTAACCCATATAAATGGATCTGTACGACATACACCACCTGAGATATGGCATTTGTGCAACTTGAGAACCATGTAATATATTTTAACTAATATTTTCTGGGGAAATGGGCGTGAACACAAAAGACTGGTACAGCACTTTTGAATTGCAGTACTGTGCTATGAATCTCAAACGCTGTACTATTTTCAGTTTCTGTTCTGTACAATCAGTTTGATCAGAAAATTTAGATACTTAGTGAATAAAATGTTTGTCTTATCCTCAGACCTTTAGGATTTTCTAGCTATAAAGCTTTCTTGTTTTCATATTTTACTGAAAATTTGTGTGCAGAAGTACATGCCAGATTTGGCTGCTCTTTTCTCCCACGTCGTCGTTGATGTCAGCAGTGTCAATGCATTGTGCCTACGTTGGTACCCAAGAGGTGATAAAATTCTGCCTTTAATTGAAACAAATGATATTCTTGCATTCTATTTTGTGTGCCTATTTTAGTGTGTTTGATATCGACGTGAAATGTGTCGTCTTTTGACAGACAAGCGAAGGGCTCCAAAAAAGGAGAACAAACACAGAGCAATGGATGACATCAAAGAAAGCATAGCCGAGCTTAAGTTCTACAAGGAGCACATATTCAAACCCAAAACGAAAAAATGAAAGAGAGGCTGCATTTTGGGTTGCTAACTTGCAAACCTCCTGCTAGTCATCTGGAATCTGGATGACCGTGTGCTTAGAAGAAGAAAAAAAAAAGGAAAAATGTATTTCATGGTTCTTATGGGTTGTAATATATGTGGTCTGTAGTTTGGATGTTGTGAAGTCTAGAAAACCAGCATGTAACTATTTCAAGTGATCTGGTCATGCTCTGGATTGGCATTTGGTTCAATTTCTAGCTCAATTTTAATATTTTATCGATCATTTTATTCCCGTATTTACCCCGGATGTCTAACTTCATCAATTTTTAGGGATTTTAGTTTTAGCTATGCTGGGTATAAGATGCCTGAAAAGTTGCTTGCTCAGCTAAATTTAAAGTTCAAAATCCTCACAGAAGTCAGGGAGAATACTAAACATAAATGGTGAACTATATATGCTCGAGTATTTGATTGAAAAGAAAAAATAAAAGAATGATCAACAAATTAATTATAATCGTTGAATATTAAGATTAGGATCCGGAAAATCTGAGAATTTGGACAGAAACTAGTGAACAAATTCTTTGAATGTTAGTTGATTGAAGCATAGATACTGTAAGGTTGTGTGAAAAAATTGACAAACATGTATCAATCAATATTCAATGGCACTTGTCTGATGACAAATATTAACTCCAATCAGTATTTAGTGACTCAGTTGCTCTGGTCACAACATACAAGTTTTAGAGCATAATTGGTCCATTTAATGGCCATTTAAAGGGAATGCTATTCCATCAGCCAAATTCATTCAAATGAAAAAGCAGTGGGTTGGGAAAAAAAAAACAAAAAGAAAAGAAAAAGCAGTGGGCCCCTACGTTTGCCATTCTGGTAAATAATAACGCCGCTTATCTTTTTTCAAGTAACTTTACACGTTAGTGTCCAATGTTTAATGCATTATAAGGCAAAAACAATCAAGCGTTTACTAACCTGGATAAAGGGAAAATTCCATTGTAGGGCTTGACTTTTTGTTATTGTGTCACAATAAGGCCTGAATTTTTAACTTTTTCATTTGAAGGTTTCAATTTTAAGTTACTCTCAATATAAGACCTACTTTTACATTCTACTTTTCAATCTAAGACCCCAAATCACTTTATATTTTGATATAATTATGTAAATAACAATACTTTCTTTAAAAAAAATTATAAAAAAAAATTTAAGTACTTATAATAAAAAATATTAAATATCTTTAATAAATTATCTAATAAAATAATTATTTCATAATTTACATTTATGCAAAAGCTTAATGAAATTTATTTTAAAAGTTAAAAGATTAATTTTAACTTAATTTTAATCTAAATATGTGACGACATTAAAATATAAACTATTTAGAAAAATAATTTTATTTTTTAAATAAACTTACAGAAAATATTATTTGTGAATAAAATTTATATTTTTGAAAAATTTATGAATATATAAAATTAATACCCGAAAAATTTTATTGTATGTAGTTTTATTCACAAATAATATTTTCTATAGGTTTATTTAAAAAAATAAAACTATTTTTCTAAATAGTTTATATTTTAATGTTATCACATATTTGGATTAAAATAAAGTTAAAATTTATTTTTTAACTTTTAAAATAAATTTTATTAAGCCTTTCATAATTGTAAATTATGAAATAATTATCTTATTAGATAATTTTATCAAAGATATTTAATAATTTTCATTATAAGTATTTAAAAAATAAATTTTAAACAAAGTATTATTGTCTACATAATTATATCAAAATTTACTAAAATGATTTGAAGTCTTAAATTGAAAAGTAGAATGTAAAAGTAGGCCTTATATTGAGAGTAACTTAAAATTGAAACCTTCAAATAAAAAAGTTAAAAATTCAAGCCTTATTGTGACACAATAACATAAAGTCAAGCCCTACAATAGAATTTTCCCCCTGGATAAAATGACATGATAAAAAAAATATGAGGTGACAACAAAATATATTTTATATGACTTAAATCTGTAATTTGGTGGACTTCTAAAGCTAAAAAAGACATTTCATATGCCAATTTTTGGGATAAAATGGTCATTTCTAAGGTGGGATTAAAATGTCCACCCTCAAGACCGAACAAAATAATCTTGTCAATCGTGCATAAAAGTGTGAGACCCACAAGACATGTCAGCTTATTATCCAAACTCATCATGGTTAGTAAACGTTGGATAACAAGAGTTATTCAACCATATCATATCCTATCAGCTTAAATAAACGAGGCGTAAATGGATTAAATGACTTTTGTTGATATAGTGGTCGACCCATGATCAACATATATTGATATTTAAATGTATTAAAAGAGATAAAGTGGGTCCTACGTGTGCATTTAAATAATTCAACAAATGTGATATAGTGGTGGACCAATTATCAACATACATTGATATTTAAATATATTAAAAGAGGTAAAGTAGGTCCTACGTGTACATTAAAGAATTCAACAAATTCTAAAACTGTTTAAATGGAAAGACTGAAATGATGACGTAGAAATGATGTAGATGAGAGAAATTGTATTTGGTGGTTAATGAATGATAAGGGATATAGATGTCTATATCCCCTTAGAGAATCAACGGTTTTAATTTAGGCTACTTTGGTAGACTGATGAGAACTGGGCAACCGAGAACAACCTCACAAGGACAACGACCCAAAATACCGCAGTAGGAGCAGGCTTCGCGCTGCGATACTTCACCATCCTCACGCCACGAGCCATGCAACGAGCCATAGAGCCTGGGAAATTTGAAGCCCCGCGCCGCGACGCATGCCCCGCCGCGACACTAGGCAGTCTTCATGTCGCGAAGGTTGTCGTGCCGTGGTACCTCCATGAACGTGGACATGATCAGGGTGGTTAGGAGCTTGGCGGGAGCAGTTTATTTGCAGTTGTTATTTGAACGTCTAGGAATAGTAGCGGCTTAGGTTGTCTAATTTTTATTTAAAAACTCTTGTATTTTAGGAAAAAGATTAGAATGAAATAAGAAATAACAAGAAAGGTTCGTTTCGGAACAAAATCTTTGTGTTAACCGACGGTCATTTACCGCGGTGTTGATAACCGACCTGACTAGCTGGATTTAACATGTAGATTTATGATTGATAATTAAAAATTATCACCTAAATCGACTAAAGCGCGTAACTTGGTGTAACTCGGCACGAGCTAAACGCCAAACTGACCTCACACTCGGAACGACAATCGACTCTCCAAAAATCGACGCTCTCCTCGCAGACCGAGAATTGAGGAGACTGAAATCCAAAGCAGATGACGAGGCGTCTACATGGCTGCACCGCACACCACATATATGTAGAAAACTGCCTCTTAAAGATAATTTGCATTTAATGCTGCTGTACCAACCTCGAATGATGAGCCTCCAAAAGTTACTATAAATAGCAGAATTTATTATTGTACGAGGATCCTTTTTTCCGAGCATTTAATACGCTCATGTAAAATCAACTCGGTTTATATGAGAACCGACTTCCTGTAATATGTATTATCCCGCAATAACACACTACTCTTACATTTTCCACGTTAATATAGTTGTTAAATACCATATAACAACACGCGGGTTTTTACATTTTATCGTGTTCTAACCAAGACCGTTAGTGCGGGTTCCTATACGAAACCGAGTCCCGATACACGATCTTCAAAATTGGTGCTTTCATTTAGAGATTGATCATGTATCATCATGTTTAATCGAGAGCGGATCGAGCGATTGAAAGAAAACATACATTCTATCACAAAGAACGTAAGTTTTATGAAAAAGAACGTACAATTGATAAAGCAAGCAGTAGAACGGATCGAAAGGAGGTTGCTCCAAAAGACCGCCAGACGGACGCGAAGGGGCGGTTCATTTCTCCATTACGCACTCGTAGAGGCAAATTAGATTCATCGTTAGACGATCCCTCAAATTCGAGGAGTGGCCGAAAGTTCGGATCAAAATTGTGGATGACAAAGACAACCAAATAAGGGAGTCGAACCACCAGAATGAAAGCCGGTCAGCCGACAATTGATGTTGGGAGTCAAATTTCCTGTTCGAGATTCTCGAATTCCATGGGGACGTGAAAGGCGCCGTGTTTGTAAACGAGGCATCGACCGACTACGAAGGACCTCCTCTTTTTTATGTTGAGAACTACGAGATGGATGAATGTGGAGCATATTCTTCATTATTGAACGCAACGGAAGAAGAAGATGGTTGGGTAACAACAAATGTTGAATTTGTTTATGATGATTTGGTTCGACATTGCCGTTTAGACGAAGCGTGGTTCAAATCGATGGTAGTTCACGGAGACGAGGGTCGTGTGTGGTCACGGCGATTTAAAAAAATAAAGGGTTCGGTGTCGATAAATTAAATCTGAGTGGACGGCGGAGGCTTGGTCACGTCGGATCGAAAGGCTGACAATGGCGGAGCATGGTTGTGTAAGAAAGGCGTGGTCTCGTCGAATTGGAAAAACGAGCAAGAATGAGGAGAACGTGCTAGATGTTCGCGACCAATTTTCGATCTTTATCCTTGAGGACAATAATCGAAGAGGGCGGGAATGATGAGAATTGGGCAACCGAGTACAACCTCACAAGGACAACGACCCAATATACCGCAACAGGAGCAGGCTTCGCGCCGCGATACTTCACCATCCTTGCGCCGCGAGCCATGCAGCGAGCCAATAGAGCTTGGGAAATTTTGAAGCCTCGCGCTGCGACGCATGCCTCGGCGCGACATGAGGCAGTCTTCACGCCGCGAAGGCCGCAGCACCACGGTACCTCCATTAACCTGGATATGATCAGAGTGGTTAGGAGCTTGGCGGGAGCAGTTTATATGCAGTTGTTATTTGAATGTCTAGTAATAGTAGCATGCTTAGGTTGTCTAATTTTTATTTAAGAACTCTTGTATTTTAGGAAAAAGATTAGAATGAAATAAGAAATAACAAAAATGCTCATTTTCGAGCAAAATCTTTGTGTTAACCAATGACCATTTAGCACAGATTTTCACATTTTATTATGTTCGAACCAAAGTCGTTAGTGTGAGTTCCTACACAAAATCAAGTTTCAATACACGATTTTCATCATAGACCTCCGGTTGGAAGTATTTGTTTGCATTAACATCTTTTCGAAAGAAAAAAAAGAGAAAAAACTAACAACTGCTATCAATTACAACAAGTTCGAAATTTTACGCCGCGGATAGATATTTTTTCAAATTAATGTCCCAATTTCACTTTCGAAACCATTGCTTAGCGGGAAAAACTCATACTCCTCTTCTCATTTCAGTTTTCCCCACGCGGCGTCGCCACTCACAGCCGCTGACCGCCGTCTTCACGATGAAGAGATGCCGGCAAC